ACACATACTCATTAATTAAACACAGAAATTGAACTTGACAAATTATTTAATGTTTGTAGAGAGGTGTTCAAAAGTTCAATGCATATGGACACCATGCGTTATGAACATAAACCACAAATTTTTAAGTTCAGAAAAAAATAATTAGGATAATTTTAGCATGTTTGACAAAATAAATATATTATTTCATTTATATGCTAAGATAATGTACACATATATCATGCCAAATGATTTTATTTTTAAATAAAACAACATCTTTATGCCTATTCGAAAATTATGTCACATTTTCTGCAGTTGAAATCCCGTAAATGCAATACAACAATGATCAATATTTTTTTTATTCCTCAACTCATATCCATAAAACTATTTATACTATATCCTTACACAAGTATCCAATCATATCAATATCAATCTATCTGCTTCCACTTTATTTATTGGAAAATAAAGGAGAAAAGAAATATATTTTAAAAATTCACCAGTATTGAAGAATGAGTTCACTCATCAAGAAAATGTAGGACAGATATCGATTCAGCATCCGAAGCAAGCCTATATGTATGCATCCTTAGATGTATCATCCATGCAAGTTTGGTCATTAAAGGGTTTATAGTTACTTGGAAATGAAACCTGCACAAAAACATTAACCTGTTCACTCATCCGGAAATGTTTCAGATTCAGCATCCGAAGTAAGTCTGGTAGTATGCATCCTCAGATGTATCATCCATGCAAGTTTGGTCAACATAGGGCTCTTAGTTACTTGGGAATAACACCTTCACCAAAAACTGCACCAAAAATGTTAACCTGTTAAAAAAAAAAGACTTGTTCATTCCTTTGCTGAGATTGCAGCATCTGAAACCTTGACTGGTACAATACAAAACTAGAAGCATCTTCCATGTATTTCTAATTAATAAAGGATATAAAAGTACTTAAAAATAAAACTGCTAAAAAAATAATCATAACTTGGGACGCCTACGCCGACACCGACGCCAAGTGTATCACATAAGCTACCCCAACTTCGTTGAGGTGAGTTAAAAAGTCTTTCAAGATTTTTCAAAGCCATGATTAGTCGAGAAATAGAGAAACAATCTCAATCAGCAAAAAATCATGTTTGTTCAAATAATGCCTCGATCTTTACTCCTCTGTCAGGGGTTATGTTTAGACCAAGATAAATTAAAACATTTTTGCAAAGTCTTATAAATGCGTGAAAAGAAGAAAACACTTGGTGTGGCCTTCAAATCGACATTTAGATATATTGACGGCGTACTGTTAATTTTTTATAACAATGGTTATTTCCATTCTTACGTCGATACGATATGTCCTGGTGAGCTTGAGATAAAGGATACCGAGGAGTCTGATATATTTGTTTCATATTTGAATATTTTACGTGAAAAAGACGTTAATTGTAATCTAACAACAAAGCTCTATGATAAAGTGATGACTTTAACTTATCTATCGTTAACTTTCCTTACTTATACCTTCATCACCTGCATACGGAGTTTATATCTCAGTTGATTCGAAACGCAACAGCATGATCTACTTATGCATGATATGAACTATTCCTAAAATAAGGTAAATTATTGTTAAAGGTTAACAAGATAATGAAACAAGAATATCAGCAGTCTCGTTTAAAGTCATCATTTCGTAAGTTTTGTGGTAGATACAATGACCGTGTCAGCAAATACAATTTATCAATGTGTCAAATGCTGACTGACGTTTTTCATACTAATTGTTAGTCCATAATTTATACACCGATCATGACAAGGAGCACAGCGGGTTTGACCGGTCGGCAAGATATGCTCACTCCTCCATGGCACCTGATCCAACCTCTGATGTTTTGGAAGTCCGTGTTTGCCCTGCTCCTATTTTGTATCGTTTATAGACTTTTGATCTTGAATATTGTTCGTAATCTCCATATGTTTCATTCAAGACTGAATTTTTTTCTGTTTCTATGAAGCTAATGTGTTCAGACGATATGGTATATTGACATCCTGTTAAGTAATTGATTGTAAACATGTCTTTAAATTTAATTAAATAATATATTTTTATGCCCCAATAATCGAGGATTCGAGGTATGAAGTTTTTGCCCTGTCCCTCTGTCTGTTTGATTGTCCATAAAAACTTTAACTTTGTTCATAAATTATGATTGGTCGAAGCTATGGCTTTCCCATTTTACAGGTTTATTCCCTTTGACAACTTCTTTCTTTTGGTATTACCAAATTTGACCTCGTGACCTTGGAGTGTGACCCACTTTTAATCATTTTTTTGAAACTTTATTCAAAGCAAATTCACTCATAATTAGCTTCTTTTATTGAAGGATGTGCATAACTGCCCAATAGTTATACTTAGTGATTATCGCTCTTGTCTAATATTTTAGTTGAGTATTGTCCCTTTTAATAAAAACACCTAAGGTTGCTTTGGTTGCAACTTCCTTTTTTAATATTCCAGCATCATCTTGGGTCGGTAAAAATTTTCCATCTTGTTATTGTGTATTATAAATTTATCCAGTCATGTAACTCATGAAAGTTGAAAAGTAAACTTTGGATTTAGATATACATAAATAAGTGCTTGACCTCTGCACCTCCTTTTACCACATTCTGAGATGGTGTTTGTGAACTCTGACCTTTGAACTATGAACTTGAATCTGAGTTTGAATATTTAATATTTATTTATGTAATCTTTGCTTTTGTGTTGCCAGAGACAATAATAACTTATAATAAATAATGATATTATATTATAAATATAATAGATTCAGTTGTGATGTAATTTCAATTTAAATTTAAATCAAACTAATAAACACGATACCTTAGGTAATTTTGATGATATGTTCATTTGACTGTTATAGAAATTCCAGGTTTAAACTTGAAGTATTAATCATTTAGCGTCCTGTTTTGCTTTTTTAATGTTCTTTTATATATACTATTATAAGAAAAATATAGAAGGAACTCTTGTTCGTGTTTTTTGCTCCACTCTTCCCACAAAGTACATTAGAGTATTAGCTAGCTAGACTTCCAGGAAAACAGAATTCCGATACAGTATCGATCGAAAAAGTACTACTACCCAAATTCCTATCTCGACTAGAGAAAGCTGATTCAAAGTTCAAAGTTCAGCATCTGAACATATGATGTTTGTCCTTGAAGCACGGAAATTTTATTTCAATAGCGAAACACGTGTTTACCTCGTATACGCTGGTGTTTTCGAAATTTTTATCACTGGTTTCGAGATAAAGTCTGTGTACTTTAACCCGCGTTGGGCTTTATAGGACACATTGTGTGATTACGTGACTAACTGCATGTACATGTACTTTGTTTTGATGTGTTTTGTCTTGGCCTTTTTCTATTTCAAAGAGAGTATTGCAGAGAAACCCAAAACTATTCTCTACATCGACAAGCATAATTAAAGTTATCTCTAAATATAGACAACGCATTTAATCATTCAGCGGATATGTCCAGCTCATTAAACATGTTAAGCAAAAACACATCACATTTTACGATTATTTAATGCATAGTCTTCGTAACATAGAAACCGACTGGCGACCTGTTAATGTTTTTTTTACCTAGTGTCTGTGTCGCTACAGTGTATGAAAAAGCCTTGAACAATACAAAGTAACAATGGCAAATGTACCTTGCTCAGAGTTTTGAAAGATGATCTGAAGTTGATTAACGTGCATAAGTTAAAAAATAACTTTAGGCTAATGGGAATTCCCTATTTATTAAACACAAATTTAAACACATTTTGCGGTTCAATCCATGACAACAAGTCTTTTCGAAGTTTCTTAATATCGCTCTACATTGCGCTGCATACACCGTTGCATATAAATATATATAAAAATGAGCATCGTTTTCTGTAACCTAAAATATAATTATAAACTTTAAAAGTTTTAACTCTATACTTCACATAGTTTTGGAGCTATTGTAAAAATAAATTTTTGAACAAGTTGGCGTTTGGTTATTGCTTAACGACGTGTGCTACTGTTATGATTCCATGGAATATGTTAAACCATTATAAACGTGTTTTTAAATAATTATTTTTCTTCTGCTATTTAAATGTACACATAATCACGCAAAGAACTACCCACTATCTCGTGATCGAGTTTTCATCCAATCACAATGGGTTATATATGTGGAATAGTTTAATATTTATATGCCCATAATAAAAGTACGTTCTCCAAGACAGACAGACAATTACAGTAAGATTAGGAGAGACGGCAGGTAAATATTATTTTTAAAATAACCATAATTTCATTTATAACTTTGCATTTCTATCTAAACGTTTTCTCTAAGTAGAAAAAAAGTTAAACTATTTTTTTCTAAATATTTTGAAAGAATATTTACATAATTTTGATATTTTAGATTAAAAAACACTGAAAGCCTGTTAAGGTTTATGCGGATTACTAGTTAGACCAAAAAATGGCTGACGACAAGGTAGACGATAAAAGTGAACACGTCACTGATTCCGACTTTTTGCCATATTCTGTGTACAGTACAGAAAAAAAAGCTTCCTGTAAAAGTCCAGACGAAATTTCTTTACGTTCAACAGCCACAGAACCCGACGATATTTGCATAGATTTATTTAAATTTATTACCCACCGATCAGGTCAATCGGAAACTGAAGTTGTCAGTTATATCTCGCATGGTGTATTGTTGAAAGGAACTCAATTGTCAGGATTGAACACTCTTGAGCATAGTAGAGAAAAAGTTATTGAAATAAAAGAAAATATAAAATTTTCAATACCATGGAAGCTACCCTTACACTACACAGAAAGATTTCGATCTTATCACCAACGCCGGCTATATGAAAGGAAAGTAATTAATTATGGCATTGAAAATACTGAGCTATGGGCGATGAAAAATGTACCAAAACGTGTTCGAAGATATTTGGGGGCTTTTCATACACGTTATACTCCTATTCCTCTTGCCTCGTGGCAACCCAAACTAGAGGATTTTTGTTTCAGTAGCGGCGCACTTGCCAACCTAAAAAAAATAGAACACCTCTTATTGAGTAAGAAAATGAATGCAGCTGAAACTCAATGTAAACTGTTTTTAAAAACATATGGTTCGCATATCATTATTGGATTGGTTCACTTCGGAAAAATAGAAGTTCACTCACAGGAAGAATATCATGATGTAATTTCTACAGATGATCTTCTTGGAGGTGACGACTGTAGTATGGACTGGGTTATTACTCACAGGGATATTTTTAAGAATGGAGCCTTGGCTGGAATCTGGAACTTAATTTTGCAAGATAAATCTTCCTTCCAAAACAAATCAAGTTTGGCGGAGTTTGTACGAAAAGAGTACAAAAAAGATAGCACGTTCATTGACTTTAAAGAAAGTGAAAGAAAAATTTTTGATTCCACTATTCAGAAACTGCACAAATATTTAAAATCAGAACAAAGCATTGAAAGAATTATTGCTGTGCTAAAGCATATTAATCATGACGTAGCTCAATTGGAAAACAAGTCTGTTTTTCATGACATGCTCAAAGAAAACTCAGATATGTCCTCCATGTTAAGGTCAGCTATTGAATACAACTCAAACAAAGAAGAAGAAATTGAAGTTCGTCGAAATTTAAAACGACTGCTATCAAAATCGGATGTAGATTTCAAAAACCGGGAAAGTATTGAAAAGTGGATCAATGAAGACATGCCTACTGAGGAAGATAAATACCCAGATATATTTGTGAAAGACCTGAAACAATTTTTTTCTCTTATAGAAGAAGAGGAATTTCTCATAACTGCCGCTAAGCGGTCCGACTTAAGTATCTCTTTAAACGTTTACATCACGATAATCTTTACAAGAACAGTAAAAAGATTTCTTTTATGTCTGAAGTCGAAACAATGTCAAGCGGAGTACGTTTTTCTGATTGCAGCACTTTCTCTTTTCGGCTTCAATTTTCGACAGTGTATATTTGAAGAACAAATGGGTCAGGAAAAATTAGTTGCTCTTTCTCGTCATTCTAAAAAAAGTCTTGATATATTTGAAAAGTACGGAAGTTATTCTATCATAAAACAACATGCCTGGGTTGTTCAATATCTTATTCAAAACATAACACAGTGGGTACCCGAAACATCAGACCTTACAGAGCTCCCAGAAGAAATAGCGAAAAATACCATACGATTAGATCCTCAGGTAAAAGCATTGCTTAAAGACAAGAAAAATTTAAAAGAAGCTATGATATCGCTGTCCAAACTTTTACAAGAAGACAAAAATAAAAACATATGTTGGGAGCATTTGAAAAATGAGCTAGAAAATGATACAATAGACTCTATCATGACACAAAATGTCAATGATCGTTGTCATTTGTCAGAAATGTCTGAGAAATTGCAATACATAGTTCAAGAGCTAGACCTGAGGAAATACTTTCCAGGAAAATTGTCTGTCCAGGAAGCATTGGAAATATCTGAGAAGAGGTTTGACGGTGCAAATACTACAAAAGACATCCCATGGGTTATCATGCATTCCATTATTTCATGTAATACAGGATTTATAGAGAAGAGTTACAGTTCACCTATTCCAAAATGGCAAGAAGTAGAGGAAGCGAAAATGGAAGAAGATTTGTCCGTCCATCCAATGGACACATTTTACACTGTGTGGTTATGCTGTGATCCATTCCTCAAGAGTCTGTTGAGTAGAAAACTTGCTTTGCTAAAAATAGCAATTCCCCTTATTTACTTTGACTGTTATCAAGATTTAGTATGTTATCTGTGGGGGATGAGAAACGTCTTCATAGACGATACTTCGGGATCAGTTGCAACAACTTGTATGAAAACGATCGCATTTGCCAGAATAGGAAATTCTGACTTTCGATCAAAGTCAGAGACAATAAACAAACTATTGCAAGAGGATCACTCAACAAGTTTTCCCTTTTTTCACAGAAATTGTAGCTTTGGAGAATTCGAGCGCAATCTTTATAATGGTACTATTGAAATTTCATGGAATTTTAATCAAACCTCAACAACAGGAGGTATGTGCAAAATCGTCAAAGAAATGACAGTGTTAAATCTAAGAGGGGATGCAGCAGTCTATCGCGATCAGTTTGAAATATTAATAAATATATCCAATATTTTGATACTCTTCGTTGAATTCCCAGAATTAGAGAAAATCTCTTACCTACTTTGTCTTCTTAAACAAATACTTCGAAATGTTATTATTGTGACAAATATGCCAAAAAGTAAAACAAATGAGAATATAACATCAAATTGTTTTCTTGAAGGTCTAAATGTCATTTCTACAAATGATTCCCTAGGCCGTTTAAAGAACGATAGAAAAATAAAGGAAGAATTATGCAAAACAATTAACAAATTGCTTAACAATGATGAGGAGAAGGTGCAGTTAGAAAATGCAATAAAACTATTATGTAAGGAAGGATTTCTTAGATGCAATGATTGGAACAGTAAACCGCCACGTATTCAAAGATTTTTCTCATACTTGAAAACTGTTCTTCGGGATTTTAAAAGTAAAGATGCCATGCTGCCTCTTCAAGGCAAAGATTTACTGACCAGATGGAGTGCAATTCACTGGAAGCTAAAACAAACTAGCCCGTCAGAATCATATGCAATAGAGACAAAAATGGAAGATACGCTGTCTGAAATAAGAATTCAACAGGCTGAAAAATGCATTTCAAATATGGAACTAGTTGCAGATTTTATTGCCATAATATTGTCACAAAGAGGCTGTGCACAAGCAGTGCAGTTTTTTCTCTCAGACATTGAGAATTTATTGGAAGAAAAATCAAGAAAAATACTTCCTCAGATGACACATGAGCTAGTAGAAACGTATCGTCGTGAGTCAGGAAGAGACCAAGTAAAGACTATCCAAGAAAATCTGGAGTCTGCAAACTTTGGATTAGTTCATTTATTTCGAGAACTTGGGCAAATATTTGAAAGTTTTAGTTACTGCAAGGACATGTGTGATTATCATATTGAAAGAACGACATGGTTTGCTGTACAATTACTACCTCGTATTGTTGCCCACATACTTATTCTAGGTCGATCATTTGAGATAATGAATGGGGAAGCAATTGATATTTCATTAAAATGGGTAAAAGCTATATTTACTGAGATGGCAAAAATCAAAGGTAACAAGAGAGTATATTCAATATCTGTTTTGGGTATTCAAAGTTCTGGAAAGTCAACGTTGTTGAATGCTATGTTTGGCCTTGATTTTCCTGCAAGTTCTGGGAGGTGTACTCGAGGTATTAATCTACATTTGCTGCCTGTCACTAACCCGCACTTGAACTTTGAATATGCATTCATTTTTGACACGGAAGGACTTCGTTCTTCTAGTAAACATACAGGCAGAACAAGTCATGACAACAAGCTTGCTACGCTTGCAATTGGAATTGCTGATACAGTTATTCTTAATATTAAAGGCGAGAATGTTACTTGTATGGAAGATACACTACAAATTGTTATACATGCATTAATGCGGTTAAAACAGGCCAATAATGATATAGAACTTCGCCAATCGTGCATTTTTGTACATCAAAATGTCTATTTATTAGGCAATGGAGCCAAATTGGAGTCTGAAATTGAAGAGACCCTAAACAAATTGAATGCAATTACAAGTAACATTGCTGAACATGAACATATGGAGTATATATCTTCATTTAACGACGTTATATCCTTTGACTCTAGACATGATGTCATTTATTTACCCAATTTGTGGCATGGAACTCCACCAATGGCTCCTGTAAGCAAATCCTATAGTAACGAAGTACAGCGGATTGGAAAGCACGTCATTGAACAATGTTCCAGAAAATTTGAATCATTTTATAACATTTCAAATACCTTTTGTCGAATTGAAAGTATATGGAAAGGCATTCTTAATGAGGATTTTGTTTTTAGTTTTCAGAATATCATGCATATGAAAGCGTATAATCTTTTGCAAGAGGAAACAAGTCGTCAAAGTTATGCATTAGAAAAGTTTTCAAACGAATTTTGGAGAAAAACAGTGAAAACTGCTTTATATTGTGCTCCACGTCAAGACATAGAAATAACTGAATCGAGGCTTTTTTCTCAGTTCTGTACTGATTTGGACGAACTAACAACATCAAAAACAACATTCCTGGAACAATATATACATTCTTCTGATTTAAAGTCTGAAATGATACAGTGGAAAGAAACTAAAATCAGGGCAATAGGAGAAACATCAAACATCTTAAAAACAGTGTTCAAGCGCAAACTAAGTCGTCAGGTTTTTCACTATAAGGTAGAATGGAAATACAATGACAAAGATATGGAGAAAAAACTTCTTGAAAAAGTTGCCAAACATGCAAAAAGTATCCAAGATAGAAACTTTTCTGAAGATGAGAAAGAGACATTTTTTTCTGAAATGTGGGAATTATTATTAAATGAACACGTCTGCGATGTGCCACTTGAAACATACAAAGCAAACAAAAAGCAGCTTCGAGATGGAATATTGATTGTTCTTTATGGTGCATTTAACAAACACAAACACCTTCTAAAAGAGGCACTTAAAATCGAACCTATAGATTGCTGCCAAGAGCAAAACGATATGAACCTGGCATTGTCTGAAGAGGATATCCTTGATGAACATATTAATTTGAAATCAAAGCTGAAAATGATAAGGATCTTAAACCACAAAACTCTGCGGAAATGCAAACTGATGACTTTGAAAGTAACAAGGGAGATTTTCAAAGAAATTGACACCTATTTTAACCAAGCTGAAGAAGACTGGGAATACGACGAAAAAGATTTCAAGAATGACATTTTATCAAAATTATTAGAGAAAATAACCACACAAAACAAAGACAAAACGTTTTCTCTAACACCAGAGTATCAGATAAAATTTGCCATAAAAGCTGCACAAATCTCTTTCAGGGAATTTTCTATCCTTAATAGACGTTATGAAGATAAACACAGTCCTCGAGCATTTACCATTTCGAAAATGTCGCAAGCAAAACAGGTGTTTGAAAATATCCTTTTAAGAGAAGAAGAAACAGTTATTGTCTCTAACTATATATGCAATGAACTAAAATTGCAAATTAGAAAAAACGTAGAGCATTCAGTAGCAGAATTATTTAAGGGGAGATTGTTAGAACATTTTTCCTTTTTAAAACGCAAGTTGATAAATGCAATATTAGAGGATTTAGCTTTAGCTGAAAAGTTCAATACTTTTGTGTCCTATATAAAAGACCCTGAGGGCTTTGCTAAGCAGTGGATGAAGGAAAAAGCTGTTAATATGTTAAGCCAAGAGGGCGATGATTCTTGTGAGACTTACATTAGACGTCTCAATATTGATGCTTTATCGAAAGAAATTTCATTTATCATGGAGGTTGCAACTCATGTCAATAAAGATGTTCCAAATAATACAATTCGTTGCTGGATACAGACTTTCAAAGACAATCTTTTCGGCTACAAACTCGATACGGGATGCACAGCATTATTATCCAACGACTCCTTGGATGATGTGAAGTCCTTTTATACAAAGCTTGCAAAAAAGATCATGGATGTTGAGCTTGAATTGCAAAACGAATTTACAAATCAATCTGATGGTTCATTAACTACTGGAGGCAAAGATCCCTTTCTAACAGTATTTAATACTCTCTGGGGTTGCAATGAGCACTGTCCTCTTTGTTTTGAGCCTTGTGAGAACACAACAAAAGATCACGTTAAAGCTGATAAAATTCCCCATTCCTGTGTTCAACATAGACCATTTGGAATAAAAGGTTTCTATTTCGTACAAACCAAAAAATTAGCAATTGAAAATTGTAACCGTTTAGTCAGTCGAAATGGTTTGGTGAAATGTGGACAATGGTGTCAGTGTGTAGAAGACAAATGTGAAATATATCATCCTTTAAAAGATTATCAAAACTGGATTCCCGAGTGGACCATTCCACCTAAAGATACTTCTGCATCTAAGTACTGGTGCTGGTTTACTGCCAAATTTTGTCTACAGTTGATGCAACATTACAAAACTGAAAGTCCGGAAATTCCAGACGGATGGAAAAGAATTTCTCAACATGATGCAATACAAAGTTTACTGACCCCAGAATGTGATAACAGCGACACTCAAAAAAAGCCTGTTCTTTCGTGGTTTGATAGAATAAAAGCTTTTTTTCATTAATATGACAAAATATTATGACCTTGCATATCCAAATATTTTTCTCCCGACTTTTCAACATCAATAAAAAGCTCAGAAAATAACAAGAATTAATAAACATGCAGCCAGTAAAATTTAGATATTTGTTTTCTAATTGTGTTTATACATGTTATAAGTAAAGATAATCACAGCTAATGGAAATCTTTAACTTTTTAGTGATTTTTGTTTTATTTTTTTAATTCTATGTAGTAGAAAGTATCATATTCATATAGTTCATTATATTCAATAAAATATTCTAAGTTACATATACAAAACAGGTGATGTACATAATTATATTTTTTAAAGAGTAATGGTTCCAATTTTTGTTAAAATTGGACTTATTGCTACTAAAATTGATAATTTTGAAAAGATAAACAGTCGAAAGCAAAATATTATTTGTCGGTGCAATTTAGATTCAATTTTATCAACTGTTTTTCTTCATTGTATATGCAGTGTTTCCGTTTTACAGAAGAGTGTATGTTAAACGTAAATTTACTGCCTCAATTTCATTTCATTATTACATCTTTATTTGTTATGATATTTTCTGTGTATTTACCAGTAATCTATATACAAGTCATGTATTTTAAAAACGACCGATGCAACAAATGTAGAACTTATAAGCTAACCAAACTTTTGCGAAATATTTTTTTCCCTTTATGTATCTAGTCATCATAACATGAAATACAAGCTGAACAATATGTTAAGTCACATTGTAAGTTGTGATAAACGCATCGTATCATAATACAATTGAACATTGAGCTTATTTGTTACATGCATATTGTAATAATCTGTTACTAGTATATGAAATCATAATTGTTACATGTCATGTCTCATAATACTTATTTGAAAATAAATAGTATATTCTATTCAGTCTATATATTTATCGCATTTTTATAAATATTAGAGTATAAAACTAATGAAATTCCTAGGAGTATCAAAAAGTTTGTAGACTGGAGCCTTGCTGCAGCACTATACACCCATTCTCAATATAAGGGCACAAATGCCTCTCTGATTTTTTAAAAAATGAAGTTCAAGATAACAATTTTTCTATCAATTACCTTTGAAAGAAAGTATCTGAAGATTTTGTTTCCAGATATTTTTTCATCAACTTATAATACATGGAGTAATGACAAGACGATAAGGTAGAGGGTATTTTTATTCAGAAATGTAGCTGGAAATGTACGTTACTCTTTCTTCAGTGTCCAAAAAGATATGTCAAAAAAAATGTAGACATTAAAATCACAATTGGAATATCTCATCTTAACACCAGCACATCCTACCATCTCTGTCAGCAACATATTTTCTCGGCATACGAATTTGCGTTTGATTTTTCCTCTCAAAAAACAAAGGTTACTTTTTGATCCAGATGTATAAAAACATTTTTTAAATACATGCTTTAAATTCTTCTCTCTGTTTTGTTTAGAGCGATCAGTTTGGAATCTTGTCATTTTCTATAGATACTGGAACCTAACATGTACATGTAGTAAAATTCTATTTTGTAGTTACTGTCTTTTATAGCATAAATCCATGCCGATTTAGAAAACTACGTAAATATAACGTACATTTCAAGATATATTTCTGTTTAATAAAAAGCTTAAAATTCATCTAAAAATTCATCGTTTTGTTTCAGTTTATTCCAAAAAAGATTCTCTATGTAATGACATTGTGTTATATGTCACAATCACCACTATAAAGACACGATTGCCTCAGATTATGAGTAGGTAACGTACATTTCAAGCTTTTGATAATATGTAAATTTAGTAATAAGAAAATATCGAAAAAAAGCAATTATTGACATAAAAATCATTTCAATGAAGCGTTTTAACGCAGTAATATAAAAAATCATAATGTAACAAATGAGGTTATTGTCATCAACTACATGAATGTCACGTCACTTCGGTAACGTTCATTTCACATATTATTGGAGATTCCCCTCCACCTCAGTTCATTACCATTCTTTTGTGTTGTTTCGCTGAAATTGACACCGGCCGTAGCCTAGTTACTTCTACCTGTGTGCAAGGGTACAGACAAAAAAAAAGAGTCAGACGTATTTGCTATGATCTAACAAATGCTCGTGTTTGGCCATTGAAACTTAATATAAATCTATTCCGAATACTAGTATATTCATCGACAGTCTTGTTAACAATTTCATTTAGTTTGTTGCAACATCGTTTTTCAAAACACAAACATACGTGCTTTTCAGCCGATCTGGAAAAATATAACCCAAAATGCAATGATTCAATTGTGTGCCTTTCAGTATTTGAAATGTCTTGACCGTCTTGTGTTCTGGGTTTATTTGCTTTGTTTCTTTTTCTTTCTTTTTGTTTGTTTGTTTTTTGTTTTTTTTTTACCAATTATAATCCTATGCATACCTTGTTTTAAATTATCAACAACAATTAAATTAATATTGACGAAAAGTCGCATATCAAAATTAAACAAACTGCAAAAAGGTTGCCAAAGATGAATGTAAGGCACTTAGAAATAAATTTTCTAGCATGTGGTAACAGTCTAAAACATTTACGAGAATTGGGGGTGCATTTAGATGGATTTATGTGGCCAGCTGTCAAATGGATTGTAACGATAATTTTGTTTCGCTCGTGTAAACGCAATTCATTGACTAAATTAAAAAAATGTCAGTTAGAAATACGTGAAATGTACGTTACCATACGTAACGTACATTTCAAATATAAAAATCAATTCTCTTCCACAAGCGTACGTTAGACACGCAATATATTGATACTATTTGAACTTGCATATCATAAGAAATGCATCATACAGGTTTCGTATTTAGAAATAAATACCAGGTATCAAAATTATATTACATATAATTGACCTTAATATATTTTTTCCCTCAGCAGAAACGTTTCTTTTCATTAATTTTGGGATTTAGCCGACCTCCAACCTTTGAAACTTTCCTTTGTGTACACATTCGAGTGTGAGAAAGTATGAGAATACATGAAAATTCGTGCGAGAATCACTTAATTCGAATTTCATGGTAACGTACATTTCAGTCACGTACATTTCAAATGATCACTTTTCATGTAAAAAATAATTTTCAATTGTGTTAAGCAAAACTTCTTTGCCAGTTTACAGGATACAAGCGGTTGCTTATTCAGACTCGTCTCATATTTTCTACTTAATATATATTCTTAATGGAAGAATATAGGTAACGTACATTTCTTTCTTATCTCTACGATTGAAAATGTCTTTCATTCCGTAAACATATTTATAAAAGTTGCTCAAATTGTCCAATTTCATGTTACATTATCGAAGTAGGAGTAATTAATCCTTTGAAATTTCAAATTTAGCCCATCAATAAATAAAGGAGAACAAAACCATCAGGTGTATAATCTTTGTGTTTGCTTGTAATGTGGTTGAAATAGAATTAAGCGACAGGGACATTGCACAATAAAAATTATTTATTATCACAAAGAAAATGTATTTATTGTTATGAAAAGAAATATATATGATACAAGGTTTGACTTATCAGAAAATTTTTACTTGAGAATCAAAACTATATATTACACAGAGGGGAATCAGCATAATATTTGCCTCGGCGACAGTAACGTACATTTCAAATAGGCTACTATATTTGAATTTGGAACTCCTTAAATACCCTTTCAGATCGATAATTATATGAATTCTTATTCATTGTTATATGACTATTTATAATGTTGATTTAAAAATTACATCAGTGGTATTTCTTCTAAATGAAACTGAGGCGACATTATTTGAGCCCTTATATTGAGAATGGGTGTATAGCTCTCCGAAAAAAAATATACAAATATATATATTGACAGACTCAGGACAGATACAGTGCCAGCCATTGAAAAAAATGTATATATATTGTGCATATAGTGCAAAAAGCTAGATTTCAAAAACTTCCGTACCCCACTATCAAGTATTCTCATAATTGACATCTGTACGCAGCGAGTTGGACTGAATTATTTTGCAAACCGAATTTGCAGTATAAATAGGCGAAATGTTCGATGGCCTCAATTTCTGGGCTAAGATGAATATTAACAACAGTTATGAAGAATATGGTAGGAATACTCGGTTAGAAAACTTTTCTATGCAGTTTTAATAACATGGAGAAATAAATCGAGAAAAAGCGCACTTCGCAGTTATGATAAGGATGTCCGAAGGCTTAAAATGCCTTAAAATATACATTTTATCTTGAGCTAGATTTTAATTTCAATATGTAATCCTTGCTTGAAATTGCAGTCAACTTGACATAATAGTTTAACCAGGTATTAAAATGAAGCATTTTTGTAACGTCACATGACAGTGTTGATCACGTTGAGGAGATTTTTAATATTCCTAAATGTTGCACAAAAATCGCTTCGGCACAAGTGCAAAACAAAAATATTGTGCAAAGTTTGTTACATAGATCAATTCATCGCGATCTCTGGTACACAGAAAGTGCTGGGAGCATGTTTAACTTTTACTCGTTAAGAAAATATTTTACGAGAAATTCAACTTACCAGCATCAGAGGGGGTGTTATCCACTCTTTATTGCGATTTATACAAAAGTGGATGAACTACACATAATCCCCCAGCAAAATTCAGTTAGAGGACATACTTCTCTTGTAGATTCACACAGAATATTTTCAATCTATGATTGGTTATAGCTTGTGCCAGTCCAATATAAACACAATTGATAAATTCAAACTCTGTCCACGGACGGGTAAGGGGAGCGTTTCACGTATAATTTTTCTCTATTGTTTGAATATGTGCATATCGGACAAGCAAAAGGAATAGGAATATTGAAATTTCAAATGTTCAACTTCATAACAGCACATTGGAGCTTAAAAACAATTCTTACACTTGAAATAAACAACAACGCCCCAAAATAAATCTACATGCGGTGTACAAATTATGACACTTTCCCCGTCATGTTAGCTCAAGTATGCAGTGACTTGACGTCATTATCTATTATGACATCATATGTAGGTAGTTTAAAGAAGTTACTACAGTCTGCACAG